TTTGGTAGTGCACAAATAGAGGAAGTTACAGGAGTGGACAAGTTGTTTGCAAAGGACTTACGTAAGGGAAGGTTTCCCATCGGGACACAAATTGCGTACATGGATTAGGAGCTGCAAGACGGTCCCATAGTTGCATCTAGCGGCGACTTGAATTGTTCAACTTACATAGATATCGTGTGGATTAGGTTGTTTTAATAACTCCTAATGCAGCTCTAATTGGCAATACTCATAAAGGGTGGTTTATTCGTTTTCTTTAAGGGTACTTTGAATTTGGACCTGCTTTAACGACAATGAGGACATTAGGTTATTAAGACGAAGAGCAAACTAATCTAATGACTCTTATGTCTCGGAGCTGTGCAAACTTATTCTTTGAGAACAATGAACGGATCGGTTTCTCGCAAACGGTTCAAGAAAATTGCGATATTAACTGTTCATAATTTGCCACCTGGTGTAGATCTTGGAAGTCCTTTCATACGAATTAAGTTAAATACATTGTGCTGCTGAGAAAGGGCATAGGTACTCTTCCTGCCATTGCTAGAGGAATTCGACTCCTCCCAGAGTTGATAAACATTCTGCATACACTTAATAACCTTACCCTCGCGAATTGGGTTTAGTGGTAAACAGCCTGTCAATAATTAGATGTCCGAGATGAATGTATAATTATCAACTATGTGTTTTTGTTTATTCGCTAGGATCACGTTTGTTCAGAAATTTTCGTTATTTTAGCGTTCCCTCTGTATTCTGAGAATTTGGATCAGATGGTCTGAGTGCCCTGATACCTTTGCTGTTAATTTTCACCTTGTATATATATATATTTATTCTTTGTCCTCAGAATCGTAGAGTGCATGAATACTAGATCGATCGATCAATTCCATACCATATTGTACAATGATTTGATCTCTTAGTTGTAATGTATTACGTTAAATAATTGATTACCTTAACACCCATTACGTAAAACTCATGTTTTGTAAATACATTATGATACCATCCATTAGTTCTAAGTTATATGAATTTGTTTTTTGTATAGAATAAGCCCGCAGAACCACCTGCCTGTTTAAGCCTATCAGATGTAGAGTATGTCCGAGACGGACATAATAAACATTGACCGAGCTGTCTCAGCATAGTTGCTGATCCCTGTGATTATATAGCATAAGCTATATTAGTATCATCATGTGCTTTTAGATAGGGAGATCCCTTGAGGCCTGTGATTTGTGGATGTACACGGGTATGCGCATGTGGAGGCTCGTTCTCTGCCTCCCTCTCAGTCGGCGTAGACCTACAGGTGAGACAGCAGAGGCTGGGCTCCACATTATCATCACAGTCTGACAATATTCTGTTTACCATCCACAAGATGTGTCTTCCTATCAATCCCAGTTATCTCCATTTAGAAACACTACGATAAGGTACTTGGAGGCTTTTTCTGACTTTATTATGTATAAGTCGTGGTGGGTACACAGGCTTGTGCTGGTTATGTGCCCTTGCCGGGTTTAGGGCCATGCTTCATGAGGAAGAGAACTAGTCGTGACCTTGTGTCTTGTGCTAGGCCGCCTGAAAGTGAGTGAGATAATGTGGGACCAGCATCCCACAGGACCTGAGCAGGCCAGAGGCAGCCTTTAGGGAGCAATAATGACTAAGCTGGCAGACAGTCATAGGCAGTTTTGTGCAAGACAGTACATGCTGTTCTACTAGATCGGCCACTTACTCGCGGCCCATCGGGACAATATTGGTGCGGTAAAAAAAAAACTCAGTCTCTCTCTCGTAGGAACAGGCACAGAACACAAAATAAACAAAACTTATATATACATATGACATGAAATAAAAACCCTACAGGGAGGGGAAAAAAAAAAAAACATGTGGGGTGTGCTAAAACAATCGTGGTCAAAGCGGCAGTGAGCGTTTGATGGACTTACTGCACCTGTGGGGCACGACATGGGGTGCCCTCTGAGTGAGGCATAGTCAAAACCTCGGGCAAACTGGGCAGAACTTCTGGCAAGCGATCAGGAGGATATTCTCGTCTGGGTACTGTCACTGCCTGCGAGCGTGGAGTTGAGGTTGTGGAGCGAAGTGGTGGCACAGACTGGGCAAAACATCTGGGAGTCGGAACATCATACACCAGGATCTGCAGGAGAGAGCTAGCAGTCAAAGGTGGACATCCTTTCGTGCGAGTTGCTCTCACTGAGCGTATGACATGAGGCTGACACTGGCTACTGCCGACAGGGCTAATAACTGCGACTTGAGACGTGTTTATTTTCTCGGCAGGTTGGAGTTATAGCAGAGGTTAGTCTAAGTGTCCCCAGTACTTGTTTCTCTACATTTAACTGCACTCTGTAAGGTCTGGAGGTGAAGTGAAACAAATCTCAATGGGAAGGTAGCAGTACGTTTCTGCAGTAACTTCCTTTCGAGCGTACTGTGCATATAAAGAGCCTTTCTGTACAAAGGGGACTCATACGCTCAGGGGACTGGGAGTAATATCAGCTGTCAACGTGCTGGTACACTCCATAGGTGACAACACATAAGTGCTACACAGGGGACTGCCGCCAGACCCAATGAGGACACACAGGAAAACTTACAGACACACCCGCAGTCATGCAGTAAAACATGGCTTAAAACTGCAAAAAGATGCTTTTTCTTGTGCATCAAATCTGACACTATAAGCCATTACACTAACATGTGTGAAAACACTGACAGAGAGGAATTAATTAAACATGACATATATCTTCTCTCAATCTTCTCGACAATACTGAAATAATTATCTAGAAACTCGATGTGGACATCATGATTGAGGTCAGGCCGTGACATTGCGAGCAGGTGGATACATCCTGCAGCATTGTGGAATACAGAAGACTCTCATGGTGATTTTCAGGCAGACTCATGTACGTCTTGATCAGTTCAGGCAGCTGCATCGGTGACGTCAAATGTGATGTGGGCAGTCCACAGCATGAGGCCTGGGACATCTCGCTTGGTACCCATGTGGCTTGTAGATCCATGTGACATCGCCGCCAGACACCCCAAGTTGCGTTGGGATCCACATGGCATTGTGATCTATGTGGTACTTCGCGTGATCTACACATGGCTTGCTGATCTGCATGGCTTGCTGAATCCATGTGGTTGCTTGATCCATGTGTCCTTATTGATCCACATGCTTGCTGTCCACCGTGGTTGCTGATCACCTGGCTTGCTGATCCCACAAGGCTGTGAGTGGCACTCAGGCACTCGGATACACAGTCTGGAAATGAATCACACCGAATAAACTGTAGAAAACACAGCAAGAGGTAAGTGTGGCATGGTTGGTGTATTGGTAGGCTTGTGAAGGTGTTGAGTGTACAGCAGGGGCGCGAGCATGGGCGAGAGGCAAGGAAACGGCACACTTACCTCATCTTCACATAACACTGGAGGACATGCACACTGGATGCAGAATCACCAAAAAACTAACTCTGGACTTGCGGGAATAGCTGTGATGGAGTGAACATCAACAGCAGTACATACAAGTGATGCTGAAACACGTGTCTTGAGAAACTGCGTGGGATGCTGTAGCGTTGGGTCACTGGGCGCCATTACTATTCTCCGATGAAATTCGGTAAATTTCGGCTAGATCTCCTGACTTGTACTGTTCCCTGGATGCTGAAAACGCCTGCCCCAGGACACAACATCAAGATAACTCGTGAGAAGACGGATGCTTTCTTGTATTGGGTGAGTAATGTGAGTTGACTTCATCCCTTCCTTCCTCTGTCCAGGGCAAACACAAAATGCTGCGAACCACCGCTTTACCACTATTTATATGAGTTTGTTTGGTGAGCTGAAAGCAGGGCGAACTGTGAAGATAGGCGTCTTCGGAGGCTTCTTACTTTATTTGTTTAAAGTCTGTGGTGGGTACACAGTATTGTGGTGTGCCCATGGCCCGGGTAGAGGCCTTGCTAACGAAGAGAAGAGAACTAGTAGGCCTCTGTGTCTGCTGCCTAGTCGTGGCTGAGAGAGTTGGGAGCCGTGTGGACCAAGCGTCCCAAAGACCTGGGCAGGACCAGAGGGCCGCACTTTAGAGGGGCAAAAATATGAACTAAGAGCTGCAGACATGATTCGGTCATGTCTGTGCAGACAGTACAAGCTGTCTACATTAATGTTTCAGAATTTTGGTTACAGTAATAATGTTTCAAGGTTTGTTATGGTACAGTAATAAGAGTTTCAAGTTTGTTTATGGCACAGCAATAATGTTTCAAATTGTTATGGCACAGTGTCTAATGTTTCAAATTTATGGTACAGTAATAATGTTTCAGGCTTGTTATGGTACAGTATTAATGCTTCAAATTTATGGTACAGTAATAATGTTTCAAGTTTGTTATGGTACAGTATCAATGTTTCACAGTTTGTTATGGTATAATATTAATGTTTCAAGTTTATTATGGTACAATATCAATATTTCAAGTTTGTTATGGTACAGTATCAATGTTTCAAGTTTGTTATGGTATAATATTAATGTTTCAAGTTTATTATGGTACAAATATCAATATTTCAAGTTTGTTACGATACAGTAATAATGTTTCAAGTTTGTTATGGTACAATATTAATGTTTCAAGTTTCTAATGCTGTTAATGTTTCATGTTATTTTCACCTCATCACGGTGAAGCACTACACCCGTAGGGTTAATAAAGCGGAGGCCTGGTCATGGACCAGGTCATGGACCGGGCCGCGGGGGCGTTGATCCCGGAATAACCTCCAGGGGATAATGAAGTCTGATGTAAGGGAAGAAGAGCTGCATCTCTTTGAATAAGGTGCTCTTCAGGAACATTAGGACACCTACCTCTTTAAAGGCCAAAACATGATTGTAGACTTTACCCTTTCTAGGTCTGGGAAAGTCTACGTGGCCAGTGCTTGTATTGTGCTAGCATGTGGCGAAGGTTATCACCTAATATATCTTATTAATATCAGCGTGAGAGAATCTTGGCGCGTGTATGTCATATCTACCTCAGTGTTGTGATATCTGCCTCATTGTTGGTCATCTCTCTCATTGTTGGTCCTCTATTACCTCGGTGTTGTGATTGCCTCATTGCTGGTCATCTCTCTCATTGTTGGTCCTCTCTACCTCAGTGTTTTGATATCTGCCTCATTGTTGGTCATCTCTCTCATTGTTGGTCATCTCTACCTCAGTGTTGGTCCTCTGTACGTCAGTGTTGTGATATCTGCCTCAGTGGTGTCATAATACTGAGTGATACTGTCACAATTAACAACACCATGACCAACACTAAGTCCTCCGCTGCTGCTGCTTATATTGACCCTCAGCTTAACATGCTTAGGTAAGATCTACTTCCTGCCTTATTATTATTATTATTATTATTATTATTATTATTATTATTATTATTATTATTTATTATTATTATTTTATTATTATTATTATTATTATTAACATGGTAAAGCGTTAACCTGTATGGTTCACATAGCACCTTGTCCTTTCCCTGAGTCTGTACTTGTACTTCCCTGAGTCTGTTATCTGGTCTTCTTGTGAGTGTACTGTACTTCCTGATTGTGTACTGTACCTGTACTTCCCTGATTGTGTACTGTACCTGTACTTCCCTGAGTGTGTACTTGTACTTCCCAGACTGTATACTTGCATTTCCCTTTGTGTACTAGTCCTTCCTTGAATCTGTACTTGTCTCTCCCTGAGTATGTACTTGTCTTTACATGAGTCTGCAACTGTCCGTCCCTAAGTCACTACCTGAATCAATATAATTAAGTCAGGAAGAACGTATCTCAGAGTTCACAGGTACGCTCCTTGAGTTAGTAAAAGAGTTTTTTAAGACTGCAAGAAACCTCACACTTAATTAGAGTGAGAGCTCGATCTTCAGGCACGTAGAACAAATGCCCTGACCCGAGTGTACACCTAAGTGGGCAGTAATTGAGGTTTCGTACCTGCTTCTTGCATACCTAAACGGCTTGGAGTCTTCACTCAGCGACTGACTTTATAATGTTTATGATGTGATGTTTCAGTATGAATTGAGTAACTGATTAACACATAAATTATATCTATATACTGAAGGGTCGTCCTCTGGCCATGTGCGACAGCCTAGAGCCAGTGTTGGGATCGTGGGTGGTGAGGTGGCCACCAAGGGACAGTTCCCGTACCAGGTGAGGTGCTGGTATACGCTGTTACTTTCGTCAGAGAAAACACACACACACACACACTCTGTGGTATGATCACATATTACATTAACGGTTCTCAGTGTGGTTCTATAGACCTATATGCCTCGAGTGTTTTCTAGTTTATATTATCAAACCTTGGATATTCCTCTACTATCAAATGAGCATCCCACGCCAAGTGTTGTGGCATATAGAATAAAAGATAATGTAGTGACCCAACTTATACGAGGAAGGTTTAAAGATAGTGAACACGTGTACACTTATGTATATCCCACAGGTGAGCTTCCAGGAGAGGGTGCTCGGTGTGTGGATACACTTCTGTGGAGGTTCTATCATTGCACCTGGCTATGTTATCACACGCCGCTCACTGCGTCGAGGGAGCAGACTTCACCTCTCACAAGGACTGCGGGTAAGATTTTAGTGGAGTGTGTATATAAAATAGGGAATAGTAACCACACAGTAAAGAGGTGCGGAGTGTGGGGTTGTATAAGAATTAAATAACCCTTCTGATCATTCACTTTCTTTCACTTGGTAACTCAGTACCAATCCAACCCTCAGATGGGACGAGGTGTCTACACACCTGTGAATGACTCTTGAACAAGGAACTGGTATTACCCTCTCCTTCCTTAGATCAAATCTGGTTACCCCTATTTCCCTAGGTGCTGTATATTCCCTACCGGTTTAGCGATTCCCTGTGAATATAACAACAACTAGATACAATTCACTCGCTGCGTGATCTAAAAAGTTGTATCCCAGTATTCCCTTCCCATCCCCCCCCCCCAAAAAAAAAAAACCCAGCCCAGTCTATTTCATTACAAGCAAAATAAAACAGGATAGACTATCAACATAAGTTTTCAATGCAAATCAGAAAATATGATATTTATAATAATAATAATAATAATAATAATAATAATATAAAATAATAATAATAATAATAATAATAATATAATAATAATAGTTTATTTAGACATGATACATAGTTGTACAAGGAATTTAAGCAGTTGGTTGTACATGACAAAAGCCCCTTGTATGCAGAACATCATGACAAGCATTAAAATTAATTTAAATTAACTAAGCTATGATAGATTCAGTGGTAAAAAATTACTGTAAACAATTTACAATTTGAAGTACAACTGAGTATTTTAAACAATGAAATTTGAACAATTCAATCTTGAAAACATAATTTGTAGTATTACAATGTATAATATAAACAATGATCAATTTACTATATGTAGTCATACCATTTATTAATCAGATCAAATCGAATAAAATCAATGATTTGTAGTGCAGAAACAGTTCATATGGTCATTAGATGAGTTACTTGTGCATTCAAGATAATAGATTATTCTATTATTATTCTATTATTACAAACATACTTTGATAGGGTCACGGGTTATACATTCATGAGATACAGTTATGAAATACAGTTATTCAATATTTATTGATCTTTTAGCATTTAATTATGGGGTTCTGAGGCTAGGGAAGTAACACAGTGTGTAATGATATTTTGAGCAGTAGAAAGCGATTTGTTAACTTGCAGGTAGAGTACTTATTGAGTATTTAGTTTTGGGTGAGTCAGTGGTTTTTAAGAAGAGTCTCGAATGATAAACAGACAGTGCTTCTTTGGTATTCACAGGTAATGAATTCCAAATTTTTGGGCATTGAGTTTTTACATAGTGTGAGATGGACACAGGGAACATCAAAGAGTGATCTGTGCCTTGTGTTGTGGTCATGTGTTCTCTTGAGGTTGGTAAGGAGAAGTTTGGGGAAGGGTTTATATCTGAGTTTAGTTTTCTATGTATGTAGTAGGCACAGTATTAGAAATGGATGTTTTGTACGGTGAGTAAGTTTAGACTTTTGAAAAACTGGTGGAGTATTGCTGCCGGAGTGGGAATTTGTTATCATTCTGACTGCAGCCTTTTGCTGGGTAATTAATGGTCTGAGATGATTTATTGTTGTTGGCCCCAATGCACAAATTCCATAGGTGAGATAGGGGTAAATGAGTGAGTGATATAGGGCAAGGAGAGAGGGAATGGGGAAAACATAGTACCGCATCTTCGATAGTATGCCTGCGGTCTTGGAGATTTTCTTGGAAATTTGTTGTACATGTGTTTGAATTTTGAGTCATTTATCTCGGTGGATTCCCAAAGAATTTTCCCTCTGTGAGCTTTTTGATAGATGAACCGTTTATCATTATGTTTATGTTTATCATTATGTTTATCATTTGTAGTTCTGTTCCAAACTGCATGAAGTAAGCTTTGCCAATACTGAGAGTAAGCTTTTTTAATCATCATCCAGGTAGATATTTTCTGTAATTTAGTATTTACAGTATTGGCTAGTATGACTGGGTTAGGTGAGAGAAGACGTATTTGTGTCATCTGCAGATAGTATGGGCTTGAGGGGTTTTGAGTTTACATTTGGTAGGTCGTTTATGTAAATGAGAAAGAGAAGTGGGCCAAGGACACTTCCCTGTGGGACACCAACTATAATTGGTTGTGTGGAAGAGTTAGCTCCATTTATGCACACATATTGGCTTCTGTTGCTAAGGTATGACTAGGTATTTCAAGAAGTGCCCTTTTTCCCATAGTGTGATAATTTTATGTGCAAAAATTATGGTCAACTGTATCAAAAGCTTTTTGTAAATTAATGAAGATTCCCAATGGGGCTTCTTTTTTTCGAGTGCAGTGATATTAGTTCCACATGTTTTATAATAGCATCATTCGTATTTTTATTAGGCCTGAAAACCCAAACTGACAGGGGTTTGAGTATGTTGTGGGAGATGAGGTAGGAATAGATTCGCTTATGAATTAATTTTTCAAAGATTTTAGAGAGCAGGGGTAAGTTGGATATTGGGCCCATAGTTATTCAGGTCTGCTTGATCTCCTCCTTTATGTATCGGAGTGACCCTCGCTATTTTGAGCTTGTGGGGAAGGTAGAGTGTTGCAATTTAAATTTGGGGACAGCACTTGTGAAGCTTTTTTGTATATAAAGGGTGGTAGTTATTTAAAATCTCCTGCCTTGTTCTTTAATGTGTTGTAATAAGTGAGAAGGTGCCATTTATGGGGAGTCATTAGGTGGGGTATTTGACATTTTGATTTTACCCGCAAGGTTTTTTTCCTATGGTGGAGAAGAAAACATTGAGTCTGTCTGCTGTTTCAGTCGGTGGGAGTAGGGGTTCATCTAGTTTTGTTATTTTCATTGTTCTGTTCCTTGATATCATTTTTGTTCCTAGAATTTAAGATAGGGTTTTCCAGGTCTTTTTTATATCCCCCTTTTTTTAAGTTGAATAATCTGTTCTCATAATACAAATTTTTTGTCCTTATCAGGCTGGTTAGGATTGACGAGAAAACGTTTTTTTTTGGTCTCTGGTTAGTGACCCAAATTCTGCACTGTTTTTCATATAAGTGCTTTATATTTATGGTTTTTGAGGATGCTGAGTGTTAACCAGGGACTGTTCAATCTCTTAGCTGTGATCTGTTTAGTTTTTTTAGGGTAATACTGTTATAGTTGCAGGTACAGTGAGAGTAAAAGGTAGATGGGATACAATGAAAATAGAAGCAGCAAGTAGAGAGAGGTTGAAGGTGTATAAACTAAAGAGGAGGCAGTTAGGGTAAGTTTATAAACAGCTATTGGAGGATAGATGGGCTAGTGAGAGTATAGGCAATAGGGTAAAAAGATGTATGGGGTAGGTTTAAGAATGTAGTGTTAGAGTGTTCAGCAGAAGTTTGTGGTTACAGGAAAGTGGGTGTGGGGGGGAAAAAGAAGAGCGATTGGTGGGATGAGATGCAAAGAGAGTAGAAAGGGAGAAAAATTTTGCATATGTGAGGCTTTTACACAGTAGAAGTGATGAAAGGGGAGGAGAAGAGTATATGGAGAGAAAAAGAGAGGTTAAGGGGAGTGGTGAAGCAATCTAAAAAGAGGCAAATGAGAGAGTGGGTGAGATGTTATCAACAAATTTTGTTGAAAATAAGAAAAAGTTTTGGAGTGAGACAAAATAAGTTGAGGAAAGCCTGGGGAACAAATGGATTGACAGTTAAAAATAGGAGGAGAGTTATTAAATGGAGAGTTAAGAGGTGTCGGGAAGATGGAGGGAATATTTTGAGGAATTGTTAAATGTTGAAAAGATAGGAAGCTGTGATTTCGTGTATAGGGCAAGGAAGAATAACATCTTGTAGGAGTGAGGACGAGCTATTGTGAGTGTGGGGGAAGCTCGTGAGGCAGTGGGTAGAATGAAAGGGGTAAGGCAGCTGGGATTGATGGGATAAAGATAGAAATGTTAAAAGTAGGTGGGGATATAGTTTTGGAATGGTTGGTGCTATTATTTAATAAATGTATGGAAGAGGGTAAGGTGCCCAGGGTTTTGGCAAATGAGCATGCATTTGTTCCTTTGTATAAAGGCAAAGGGGATAAAAAAGAGTGTAAAAATTATAGGGGAATAGTCTGTTGAGTTTTACCTGGTAAAGTGTATGGTAGAGTTATTATTGAAAGAATTAAGAGTAAGGGTGGAGAGTTTTGATAGCAAATAAACAAGGAGGCTTTAGGGAAGGTAGGGGGTGTGTAGACCAAGTGTTTTTCAGTGAAAAAATAGGGTGAACAGCATTTGATAAGGGTAAAGAGGTTTTTTTTGGCATTTATGGATTTGGGGAAAAAAGGGATATGACAGGGTGGATACGGGGGCAATGTGGTAGATGTTGCAGGTGTATGGTATAGGAGGTAGGTTACTGAAAGCGTGAAGAGTTTTTATGAGGATAGTGAGGCTCAGGTTAGAGTATGTAGGAGAGAGGAAAATTATTTCCCCGTAAAGGTAGGTTTAGACAAGGATGTGTGATGTTACCCTGGTTGTTCAATATGTTTATAGATGGGGTTTTTAAGAGAAGTGAATGCGAGGGTCTTGGCAAGAGGTGTGAAGTTAAAAGATAAAGAATCAAACACAAAATGGGAGTCGTCACGTTGCTCTTTGCTGATGACACTGCATTTGGGGGAAAACTCTGAAGAGAAGTTGCGAGGTTGGTAGATGAATTTGGTAGGGTATTAAAAGAAGAAAAAAAAAAGTGAATATAGGAAAAAAATAAGGGGATGAGGTAAAAAAAAGATTAGGTGACGAAAGATTGGGGGATAACAGGGGGGAGAGAGTATGGGGGAGGTGAATTAAATTTAATATTTGGGGGTGGACGTGTCAGCATTTTTCCCCCCCTTTTAACCCCAAAAATTTTAAAAAAGGGGCCCCAAAAAAAATTTTTTTTTTTTTTTTAAATTTTTTTTTTTTAAAAAACCCTTCCCCCCTTTTAAAAAAAAAATTTTTTTCCCTTCAAAAAAAAAAAAACCCCCCCCCTTTTTTCCCAAAAGGAAAAACCTTT